CTGAAGTACAATTAAAAAAAAAGGAAAAAAAAATCAATTCTTAAATGTGTAATTATATGTTTATTAAACACCTATATGCTTACTTTTGATAAATCAAAAATGACTAGGTTCATAAGCAAACTAAATTACAAATAAAGAAGACCTGTTTCCTCTATAGCTTCAAAGTTTCTGGAACTTAAAAATGAAATCCTAGATTAGGCCTAATACTTAAAACCCATCAGTTTGGAGATCTAAACATCAAATAACTTTATCAGAATAGTCCTGTTTGATCACTTGCTGAAAAAGAATTTGGATAAGGTTAAAGCCTTGAACTCCACACAAGAGAAAACAAGATTTGGGACGGGATATTCAGTTGTGGAATTCTATATAAAGATTTCAAGGCATCTTACTGGCTTTCAATAGGTCACTAACTTTCACTGTCTTTTAAATAAAGTACACATGCAATATATTTCCATACTTTGAATAATCAAATTAAGGCAAGAAGTCTAAAACTTTTTCAAGGTCAGCAGTAACGCCAGATTTTGAACACAAACCTTTCAAATAGAGTTGATCCCTATAGCTCAGACATTCCTATACCTATCTGCAAATCAGAATTACCTGAAGAGCTCTGTAGAAAGCACTCAGGCCCTGACTCAGGAGATTCTAATTGTACTGGTCTCAAGTAGGGCCCTGCTTTCTGTATATTACACACACACATACACAAACACACTCACACACACCCCTTGCCTCAAGGCTACTATTATGAAGCCAGGGTTGGAAACGATTGCTTTCAACTCAGGCTACATCCCAGAAAGAAAAAAAATAAAAGTTCCTGGTAATCGATAATCAATGCTGAAATTCCATTTAAGGGGAGAGAGTCTGTCCTAATAAATAATCACGCTGTATGACACAACCATCACGCTTTTCAAAACTGGTCGATCTCAACAAAATAAAACAAGTTTGCAATCATTAAACATCCTATTCAAAGCAGCAGAAAGGACCAAAAGCAAAATAACATGATTTTCCTTTTGTCCTCTGCAATGATGCTATAGTTTTAAGGCTGGCGTATCTTGTGAAAAAACTTTATTTCCGCTCATTTTAGTCTCTGTCAGACTTTCCATTATAAATTTACTCTACCAGTAAAAGCAGTATGAGGTTGCAATCTGGCAACAGCATTTTAAGGCTGGCTATGACTTCTGTACCCCAATTTGATTTAAATTAGTTTTGCCATATTTAGTGAGAAGTTAAAAAAAAAGTCCGTTAAGCTGCTTTTGTTTGTCTATTGGTTCATTTTGTAAACAGTTTCAAAAGTTTTGAAAAGTCGTCATGTTTATTTCTGATAATTTCACAGAGAAATGCATTAATAAATTCATATTATCCCATTACTATCTTTAATGAAAACAGCTTAATTGGTAATAAAGAATACGTCAGCTTTTGTTTTGCCGTTAAAATCTCTACTTTTTAAAAAACCACATGTCTATTACTATTAATGTTAAATCCTCAAGAGAAACGTAATGGAAAAACATATATATATATTTTTTAACCTAAAGTTTCTGGAAACAATATGCATCTCAAAATAATAATTTCTTCCTCCAACCCAGCGTTTCACTACCTGTTGCTTACCACCGCTATACTAAACAAAGGAGTATGGGGACTGGAACAAGCATGTTCACATGTAACAATGCTCATTCCTTTAAGTCCACACGATACATTGTTATAACATGATAACGCTGCCTTGGAGCCCTCTTAGGGCATCTCATCTACAGGGTTTCCATCCAGCATCTCCATAAAGTCATAAAAGGGAGAAAACAAAAGCTTTCCTTCCACAAGAGCCACTCACCTTTTCACACGGGGGGAATCATTTCAGCTGCAATCTGTTATTTGGACTTGAAGCCTAAGATACCGAGATTTGCCTTTCTTTTTGGTTTGCATAGCTGGTGTTGTTGTAGACAGGGATTCAAAGAATACAGCACAAGAGAAATGGACTGATTCGCTGCAAGGCAGAGCAGGGTCTGTTCTATTCTCAAATTTCACAAAAAGCAGAGATTCAAAATATGCACACTTTCCATCTTCAGCCCCTATTGCCTCACTCAGGGAAATTCCAAAATTTCGCTGTTATTTAGCCTTAAGTAATCACACATTTATGGATACTGCAGAGACCATGCTAAGCACGGGAGACAGTGGATTCTTATAAGACTCACAACCCTGAAGCAGAAACACGAATGAAGGAATCTCCAACTCCACCACTATAGTAGGAGACTTTTTAAGAAAAGCATATGCAGTCACATTCATATACATGACAGATATTTCCTGGACATGAACGTCTCCCGATGAACCTCCCAAGGCCCAGAAATCCAGTCATCACAACCGGCCACCTCTACTCCACCCTCTGCCCCTTGCCACTTCTCATCTCACCTTGGATTTGCAAAAACAATTAACTTCAGTTTCACCCGAGGGAAGTATTCCCCACACACGGAGGGAGGGTCCGTGTCCCTGCACACACTCAGCCAGACTCACTCGGGCTAGATGATGCTTTCACAAGTTAAGAGGCCTCCCGCTTACTCAGCAGAGGAAATCTTTGTGTCTGTGAGGAATCACGCCAATTCCTATTAGTAAGAAAGGATACAGGGGCGAGGAAGCTTACTCTCTCAATGACCAGAAAAAGAGGCCCAGTGAGACAGAGACCTCTGCCATGACCATCTGCAAAGAGGAAGGATGTTGTCAACTTTCTTCTCCCCAAAACTCTAGCGACCTCTGCCTTGACCCTCAGAAACCAGATACACAGGAACAACCTCTTGCGCAGGAATTGGGAGCTTTACACCAGAGACACAGCACTCAGAGGCTCGTAGCCCCAGCTATCTCCTCCGAACATTTGCACTCACATTCCAAAGATGTTTCCGCTGCACTGGAATGGCTGTAAATTTCTTTCCTGCAGAATTCTTTCCAAACAAACTGCCATGAACTGCGCTCCCCGGCCTGTCAGCGGCAGTTCTCAACCAAGCCACTGTTCACCTCATCGCAACAAATCTTTCAGATGCCAAATATGACTGCATCGGTGGCTCCACCAAAGGAGTAAACTTCAAAAATGCAAATATATACAGGAAAAAAAAAATCTCAACCCGAGTTCCACCTTCAGTGACATATCACTGATATGTAAGGGAACCTTCCTTCACAGGTCTATGTAATTATTAAAACTAATGCTTGCTTACATTTTCCAGGGAGATATTTAACAGGTATTTAAAAGCTATTTAGAAGATTCAAAAATGATTTTTTTTTTCATATTATTAAAGAAAATGGAGGGTGAAAGGTGTTCAAGAGAGCAAGCATCCCCTTTCCAGCACAAAAAGAATGTACATTCTGTTTGGGTGAATAATAAGGGAAAGCTTTGAATATTAAAGAGGGTTATTAAATTGTGTCAGAAGTTTCCCAAAGTAAGAAACCAAGGCACTTGTAACAAGAAACTCTAAACCCTTTTTTTTTTTAAATGATTAATACTGATACTGAAATTAAAAAGAAAGCCTCTATAAAAACTCACTTGAAACAAAGATTACACTTTGGGCCATTGACAGTATTTTTAGAACCGGGTGCTCTCTGGAGAGTTAGAAGTATGCAAATGCAGAGTGCACACAGACACAAACACACACATGCTATACCTTTGTATTACACTGGCATTTTATTATTTAATTAAAGTACCCTTATTTTTCTAGCTCACGCATGCTTCCCTTGAGACGGCTTTGCTGTTAGCCTGCTGGCCTTGACTTCCAGCCAAAAACAATTCAGAAACAAAAAGGGACAACAAATCATATTTTCACAGACATTTTTATCCCTCAATACAACCCTGTTTTCACACAACATCATACAGCCTCTATGAAAACTATAATTTAGGGTACTAGCCACCCAAACCCAGGGTCGGACACATGGCTTCCCGATGTGTTTCCAGGGTAAGAAATTCTTAAGTTCTTAATTGCAAATAAACTCCGGACAGAACCACTTTCACCGACATCACCCAACTACAAACAGTACTGGTTGATGGATTTAAAAAATCAAAATGAGCCACTGGATTTAGTTCGGAGAAAGCAGGACTCGAAAGATAAGGTGTTTATTAGTTCAAAGCTCTGTGTTATTTCATTGCTTTTTAAAAGAGATCGTCACAGGCAGACAGTCTGGTGCATTTTGCTGACACAGTCTCAAATGCATAATGTAATTTACAAAACAAACTGATTTAGCAGGTTAATTCTCAACCCTTCCACTACCGAGATTCTCACTTACCTGGTGGCAACCCTGTAAGTTTGATTCTCTCCCATAAGATGAGTATGAGCTCCTTTCTGTTTTACCTGCCAAGAGAAACAACAAAAAAGTGTAAATGGTGTTTTTCCTTTAAAAAAAATGCTCCTCCAGGTAACGGACATCTACATCTCCTCTCCGATGTTTACATACGCAAAGTAGGCACTACCAGCAATGTATGCAAGCAAGAGAAGGAATAACGCGTCTTCACTCTGGCTATGAGAAACTGGAAAAAAATATCCTTCATTCCTATTCTTAGCCAAACTGCTCTACACTTCCAAAAACTGTCATTCCAATGGCCTCCACTTTCTCTAGCAAACAAACTGTCTTTCCTTATTTTTACTTTCTTTCTCTCTCACAAAATTCAAACAATTTCATTTTTATTTACACAGCAGGCAAATTATCTATGTAATGACCCTAGCCTAGTAATTCCCATTGATTATATTGACACTTAATGGTGAGGCCAAAGCTAGTCAATCACAGGCTCTCCAGATGGTGAATTTAGCAAAGAAACGATTCAAAATTCTAAGTCTCTCTCTCTCTTTTTTAAACTCCCTTTCCCAGGAGTAAACCCCATCATAATCAAGATGATGATGGAATTTACATTTGGAAAAGAGGTTTTTTTTGTTTTGTTTTTTTTAAATTGCCCACTTTGAACCCAAGTCCACATTGTACCAGTAGACCCATCAGGACATAGGCTCTTGGACTGTGAATGTCTTATTTGAAGTTCTAACAACCCGATTTTTCTCTGTAGATGGCTTTACAGAGATGTATAGATCCTCCAATGCTATTTGGCCACATCCAAGGATAAAATGAAGGCTGCTCATTTGTCTCTTTTGAAAGTATGTTTTGCCTTAGGAATCAGCAGGGGAGATAAAGACACCCCATCACTTGAGATCTAAGCAGCAGAGTTCAGCAAGTGACAGGGCTAGTGAGGCAGCCCAGTGCCCAGAACAGGAGCCTCACCCTGTCCAGGACTGAAGGAGACTCCCTTCTTGGAGACTACTGATTTACTGTACATTGCACATTAAACCCAGGACTCTACTATTCTTTCTTCATCTGAGAAAATTCAAAACTAGTATTCTGAGGGGTTGAATGTGCACTCTACTGAAGTGTACATAACCCCAAAGTTTTGCCCTCTCAACTCAACTGAACACCAATGCTAAAAGTAGCAGTAGTCATTTTTTATTGTTTAGATCAATGATGGTGTTATTAGAGGATGCCTTCCTGTCACTGCACAAAGAATGAATCTTTAATCAATCTTGTATCTTGTCAAAAGTGCACCTTGTATCTAAGTCACCATATACATAAAATAGAAGGTGATGTTCTAGGAAAGTCAACCAAGTCTTAAAATTAACTCTGTCCCTCCCACTATTAACTTTTCCCCTGACTACAGTGACTCTCAAACTTGGGAAAATGCCCTTCCCCACAGCCCTCTTTCTGGTATAGTGTTCAGTGCTAAGTATAAAATCAATGCCCATATCAGTTTCAATTCCACTGACACAGGACACCATTTAACAGACTGCCAGTCTTAGGAGACTTATGAGACTAACTTTCATTGTATGAGGATTTTATATTGAAATAAAGATACATTTACCTGTATTAGAAGTGTCCATGGTCCTACAGACATATTTATTCTTTTGAGTAATTAAAATAAAAGCTATTTACACCCTTTAACTTCTCTTGATATATTACTAACAGAAGAGACTTGACCTTTAGGAGTTATCAGTCCTAAGAATACAGCAACCCAACTCTTAAGTTCTTGCATCTATAAAAACTTCATAACAACAGCCACACCATTCACTTTGACATAATATTCACTCGTATAACAGCTATATAGGTAGGTAGGTAGGCAGGCAGACAAACAGAAAGAAAGATAGATAATACGGTGGGTTCTGCTCTGACTTCCAAGGAAATTGAACATCAAGTGTCCTGTTTGGTAATTTCTAAAAGCTGAATCATAAAACACAGTTTGAGGAAGAAAGCTCATCTATTTTATTCTGTAGATAGAGTTATTAATGAAGGCATCCCCTATAGAATTTTACCATCCAGTATTATTTTACCACTCGAGTCCAGCACATTGAACTGCAAATATGACTTATTCTACCAGAAATTTTCTAACATGTACTTAAGTTGGGGCTATTCCTTTTATTATTTTAAAGTCAGAAGGTCAGGGCAAATACTAAGAGTTAAAAAGAGAGAGCGAGCATAAGATGAGAGAGAGAGAGCATAAGATGAGAGAGAGAAGAAAGGAGAGAAAGAAAGAGAGAAGGAGAATGGGACAAAAAATAAGAGAGAGAACGGGTAGGAAGGAAAAGAAGGGGGCGAGATGAGGAAGAATCTGAATTCAGGCTGCACAGAGTCCCCACAGTGCTCTTGGCGACACGGACCCAGCATTCTTTACTATCATATCAGATACAGACTGCTTAATCTTAATTTTGGTTGTTAAAAAATATTTATCCAGATACAAAAATAAACCCACTGCAAATTACAAGTTGTCAGGGTTAAAAATCTACTCCTGTTTGTGTGGGGGAGGATAAGAGACCAGCATAGACATGAATCATTCTCAGTAATTTGAGTGTTTCCATGACATCAATGGGCACTGGTCCAGGACTCTGTCGAAGTCTGCGAGGTACCAAAGAGGCAGCGCAGCCAGCAGGAGGCTGGGAGGTGGACTTTATTTATTTTTTTTGGATTATGCTTCTTGTAAAGATTTCATCTGTAGCATCCACTTTTACCATCAAATAGATAGCTCCGAAGATCATGAGTGAACACATTTCCTTCTGATAGTGTAAGCCTTTAACTTTATTACATCTTTTTGTTCCCAAATTCAACTATAAATCTGCCCTCAGAGCCCAAAGCCCTATTTGGGAACAAAATAATCAGGGACTATGGATAGAGCCCAGGAACCATCTACAACATAACATATCCATTAACATCATTTTTTTTTTTTAAATGATAAAAAGCAGCCATTTTAAAATGACACCTCAATTTCTAGGGAAAGAAAAAATCTTTTTGTGTAAATTGCCCATTAAAAATTAGCCATGGTCTTGATGTTGATTTTCTGCTTAAAATTCACTGGAACATTTGTTTCAGATAATAAAATTTTCAGGAGTGCTGATGAATGTTTGAGTAGGATCTTTAAGTAACTATCTGCTCATGAACACAAAAGCCCCTAAATATCTGCATTTACTCGATGTCAGGAATGGATTTTTGTCACTTAGACCAACTGACTGGTGCGGGCAGCTTAGTTCATCCCTCTCAATTCTTCATCACCGCCCCCCTCATCCTCACAACCACAACAGAGCTTTGGAAAAGCTAAAGATTCTATTTTTCCAATATTTAAGAGATAGCAGTGACGAACAAACCCAGCGCGTTTACTGCAGAATTTTCGACACAACCCTCTAGTACGAGAATGCGACAGCCGCTGCGGATATTTTTTGGCACAAAGACAATGGTGGCAGTGCCAAGCCCCATGGCTAAAACTACTCAAAAGAGGCATAAGGGTAGCATTAATCGCTCAAGTCTTTTACTGCATGGAGTACTGTTGTCCATATTTTAAGAACTAAAAGTACCCGTTAGTAACATTTGTCGTATGCCCATAAGGGGGGGGAGGGGGGATTCTGAAATATATACCAGAAACAAATCTTGTCAGGCATTTGATTCATTTTTGTACCTAAAAGGACCAAATGTTAAATTTTGCTGCTGGTGACGATTTGTTGTGTATGAAACGAATGACTTGACCTAATGGAGTACACTGAAGACTGAATGAAAGCTACAGAGAGGATTTCATAAACTCAGTCGACATATTGGCTAAACAACTTTCTTCTGCAAAAATGATGCATACAAGGAACATGTAATACTATGTCACAATTTTTTAAATTAAACAAGAAAAACGCCCTAAAGAAGCAGACACAACATCCGCCAATCAATCCTTCCCGAGACAAAGGAGATCAACATGCAGCCCCTTCTCTAGAACAAGTCAGCATCTACAGTGAGCAAACAATCCAGAAAGTCAACATGTGTTTTGTCCAAACTGAACCCATCAGCTGTTAAAACCTATATTTCAATCTCATTACTAAAAATGGTGCCAAGTGACAATCAATAGAGGACCCACTTGCTTCTTCTGGTGTCCTTGAAAAACTAACCTAAGCAGAAAACACAAGCTACTACTTATTTTTTTTAATTGATCTATGCAATGTTTTTTATTTGGCGGCAGTGTGATTACCAAATGTCTACAGAATTCCAAATTTAATATTTTTATATTCAGATACTATTTGTCATTTGACTTCCAGTTTTTCTTTCAATCAATCCATTATATCCTATTGTAAGAGAATGCCAAGAAGACTCCATGAGAATGAAAATATTACATGAAGGAAAAACGGCCTTCATACATAAAAACAAGTATCACCTTTGCTATGTTACTACACCTGGACACAGAGGGCAGTTCTAAGCCACACGGAAAGAGCTAGAAACTGACAGGAACAACTTATCAATACTATGATTTCTAGAGATAAGCAGTGACCGAGATGATCCACCAGTGGTTGGCCAGTAAGATAACAACAGGGTCATGTTTTGGTCTTGAGCTATTCATTCTAAAAAGGCCACTTTCACCACTGAAATAGATGCGCCTGTATAGTGGAATATGTCAGCCTGTGAACAGCCTCCATGAAAAAGTATCTGATGCTGCAGGACAATACCAAGCAAGGCTGTTTCCCTGTTAATCCTCATTCTGGGAACTGAAGACTGAGCCTTTTGTTCCCTAGCATCAGACTAGGAAATTCACCATAAACGTGTTTGACTCAGAATAAATATCTGTCCCCTGCTCCACCCCCAGTCCATCCCTGGCTACCCTATTAATTTTTTTTTTGAATATTGAAAAGATTACATAATTAAACAAAGAGTGGAATTTTTAGTGGCTCTGAAAATATCCATGAGGTTATTATTATCTATAGTCCTCTCATCTTTTCCATTTGCCTTTTCCTCCTTTGCCCAAATAAGAAGAGCAGGGTTCCTACCACGTACTAACCACTCTCTGAAGGGCTCTATG